TCTCCTCCCCTCCTCTCCTCTCCCCTCCTCTCCTCTTCTCTCCTCTTCCCTTTGCTCTCTCCCTAATCACCCAGCTCATTACCCCACACCAGAACTCAGGTTATAAATCAAAAGACGCAGGTGCTTGCCATCTTGCGCTACCTATCTTTACGTCAGGTATGGAGTCACTATCTCACATAGTATATATTTGTTTTTGAATGTTTTCCTCCTCTGTAAAGTAAGCTTTTGTGAAAATAAACGATCTCTTTTGCTTTCGTTTATAGCCCAGGTCTTCTCCACAACAACATAAACATACAACAGTGCATGTTCACTCAGCAAGCCACTGTGTTTCTAATCATTTCTAACACCTTGGTCCTAATTAGTTTCCAAATTCTTGTCTGTTGTCTGCACTTTGAAAATCCCCAAGAAAATCACAAAAGTTTAAAAACTTAGTGTTCAGTGTCATTTAAATAACCTAGCTTTCTTTCTTCTTGGGAAGGCTGTGGTGGATATTTGCATGCAGATACAGGAATTATCACATCCCCCAAGTATCCAGAGACCTATGCTCCCAACCTCAACTGCTCCTGGCATGTCCTGGTTCAGAGTGGTCTGACCATTGCTGTCCATTTTGAGCAACCTTTCCAGATTGTAAATGGAGACTCTTCCTGCAACCATGGGGATCACCTGGTGGTAGGTCTGGCTTGTTACCCTTTCTAGTTATGGACTCTCAGGCTTCATTTGAATTCTTTCTGTATCAGTACCCAAACTGGTAGGACTTTTTGTACTCTTTCACAATATAAAGGACATCATGCAATTTTAATGTGTCTTTTTTTAGCTAAAAAATGGACCAGATATCCATTCTCCACCCTTGGGGCCCTCTGGAGGAAATGGCCGCTTTTGTGGTGTTCATGCTCCGTCAACTCTGTTCACCTCAGATAATGAAATGTTTGTTCAGTTCATTTCTGATACTAGTAATGGAGGACAAGGATTTAGGATCAGATATGAGGCACAAAGTCTAGGTAAGTATTTCCATTGAGAATCGTATCAGTATTTTTTCCTGTGACTGTCTGATTTTTATTGAAATGGATTTTAGAAAAAAAATGTAAAATTTTCTGAGGTAAGAGTCATAGTGTTAATAGGAACAGCTAGCTGCCTATGATCAAGGACTTGCTATATGCTTGGTATATTGACAGTTCATCATGATTACTTTTTAAAGGAAAGTTATTATTTCCATTTACAGGTAAGTAACATGAGGTTTTGACTTTTCCAAACTATTTTTTTCCAATTACTAGCAAAAGTGAATTTTCTATATGTACAAAATAAACTGATCTAATTGATACTTTGACTAAATTAAACTTAGTGATCGCAGCATTGTAAGGGTGACGGTCATCACTTTCCTTTGTCGTCATCTCTGTCCTTCCTGTTTAATGACGTGGTCCATCATTCTGCTGTTACTCATTTAATTATTCTATACTGCAGCAGCAATATTTATTTAATCATATTTGCTTATTATATTTAATTATAATTGCATTTAATTCTACTGTAATGATTTGATTTTTATGGCATTTGCTTTTTAATAACATTTAGCTAAGTAACTAAATAAACAGGCAGAGCTTCAAAAACCAGAATAGTGTAAGTGGAGGG